TTCTGACTAAACTTTTCCTTAACAGCCAGTTTGGTGTAGTGGTTAAGGCACCAGGCTAGAAACCGGGAGACTGTGAGTTCTAGTCCTGTCTTAGACACAAAGCCAGCTGGGTGACTTTGGGCCAGTCATTCTCTCTCAGCCCTAGGAAGGAGGCAATGGCAAACGACTTCCGAAAATGTTGCCAGGAAAGCTGTGGGGACTCATCCAGGCACTTGCCTGGAGTCAAGACTGATTTGAAGGCACAACCCCCACCCCCAAACCCAAACTCTATTCCTCAGTAAGGAATTAGGTTAATATACCTTCAACTGTCTTTTAGCATCTAGGGAATCTAAATCACCCAAATTTTAGTTGTAAATCCTGCAAATGATAGGAGTTTCCCACTTCATCTGTTGCTCTATGAACCAAAATCAATTGCTTCATTGACTTTAGGGGAACATAAAGAGGAAACTCCATAGCACTGATACAAAATAAATTAAACTTGATTAGGAAATAGCGCTTCAAAGCAGAATTAACAAGGGAAGTATGTGGGCTTTATAATGTTACAATGATTTTATAATGATGACTTGTATTAATGTTCTAATAAGAAAACTGATGGTGATCTGAAGATATTCTTAGGTACTATATTCAGTAATAGAGAATGTTATGTTTTAAAATAGACCTGGAAGTAATGAAGCCTTTAATAGAAGAACAGAGTTCAGACACTGATGATGAAAATGAAACAGAATTACTGCCGGCAGAGAAGAAATATCAGCTTGATAGTCAGGAGCCCATTACGTATGTACTGTATTCCCACATATTTACGATGTCTTTCAGCCCTTTCCAGACTTCCATAAGGATAGACATGATTTACCCCCTGATATATTGTGCTTTTCTTTGCATTTTCAGATTTGTCCAAACGCTCACTCACCTCCTTAAGGGGAACATTGGGACGGGACTTCTGGGCCTCCCGCTTGCAATGAAAAATGCAGGCATTCTGGTAAGTGTTAGTCAGACCCTAGCTGTGGAGGAGAATAGGCTGTTTAGAGTTTGCTGTTGATGCCTGCAACAAAGTGGCTGGGTTCGCACAATACATGAGACTAGTTGGGTACTCTGAGAGACTCAGCATGTTGTGGGAACCTGCCAGTGTCTTTCCATATTCTGTGAACCTGGCCATTATATGAAGCCAGAATATGATTTATTTCTTTGGGTATAGCTTATTATGTGACAAGAATATCTGTCTGTCTGTCTGTCTGTCAAATGTATATGGCCGCCCATCTAACCAGTGGAACTCTGGGTGGTGAAGAAAGATAAAAACATAGCACATAATCCAAGTCAGTTAAAAATCTAAGTTGAGACTTCTGTAAGCAATCTGGTCACCATATCACACACCCACACCCCATGGTGATTTGGTCTCCCAGGTTTAGCATATTGTGTGTTTCTACATCCATGTTACCTCCCCACCCCACCCAAAGATCCTCTTTTGTGTTCCCTCAAGCTCCATCTCTCCTCTTGTTAGCTCCAGGGAGTGGATTCCATGTAGGCAAAATGTGCAGAAATGCTGTCTCCCTTTACCTCTTGCTGACCCTGGAATTGTCTCTTTCCCAGTAGAAGTGTGTGTGTGTGTGTGGGGGGGGGGGCAGCTCTGCTGGTTCTTAATCATCTTCCTTTCCTTTTTCCCTCTCTTCTTCCTTTGCCTTATCATACCCAAATCTGGAGTTTTTATATGTTTCTAAATTATCTCTCATTCTATCCCTCCTTCTATTACCTGAGCTGCTTAAAAGCTGGTTAAACTCTAATCCTGGACATCAGTCAAATAAAGTGCTGCTTTATCACTTCCATCAGTCTACTTCTGTATATCTTACCATCTGAGTATCCTGTTTCCTTTACATCTTGTAATTCTAGCTTAACAGCTTTTTCTGAGATGCATCAGCTTTTTAATTCCTTTACTTATTGTCTAGCTCTCGGGCTACAGGCAAATGATATAAATCTGGTCTGTTGGGTGCAAAGCCCATTATATTGAGGTCCAGATAATCAAGGCTTCACTGTAATTTCCACTGGGTTTTGAGATGCAGCAAAGCAGACAAGCTTGAGACTTGTTTCCTTGAATGTGTTTGCCACTAGAACTCCAAAATACATCAACTGGAGTAGGGACTCAGGAACAGATGTGGAATTGGGGACAAGATTTGTTGGTTATTTTTTCTCATCCTGAATTGGAATGATGTACAAATCCAAGCTTTTCATGTACAAATCCAAGCTTTTGTATTTTTAGGAGCCTAGCAGAGATGACCAAAGCCTTATTTTATTTGTATTGTTAAACCATTAAGAGTTGGACATCCTTTCTGATATGCTGCAAATCTTGCAGGAGATCCTGATCTACTTTCTGCTCATCAGTACAGAAAGGGGGAGGCATTTTACCCTTTGTAAATTAGTTACTATCTTTGTTCCTTCTTCCATGCAGCTTGGACCAATCAGTCTTTTCTTCATTGGGATTATATCAGTTCACTGCATGCACATTTTGGTACGATGCAGCCAGTATCTATCCATCAGGTTAGTATGGAACTAACTCAGTTTGTTGATGTCACTTCTGCCCTGGAAATAAGTCTGCCAAATGTTATTACCCATATTTCTATGTAGGATATCAAAGTTTAGGGGTAGACCCTTTCTTGCAGCCAGCATGAAAAAATCTAGGCTCCCAGCAGGTTAAATTTGTGGTTTGGTTTGGTTTTACAGTCAGGTCCAGAAATATTGGGACATCAACACAATTCTAACATCTTTGGCTCTATACACCACCACAATGGATTTGGAATGAAACAAACACAATGTGTGGTCCCTTAACAAGTGGGGGGCACATATGTCTTGATCTGGCCAACTGTTGTCTTGATCTGGCCAACTGTTGTCTTGATCTGGCCAACTGTTGTCTTGATCTGGCCAACTGTTGTCTTGATCTGGCCAACTGTTGTCTTGATCTGGCCAACTGTTGTCTTGATCTGGCCAACTGTTGTCTTGATCTGGCCAACTGTTGTCTTGATCTGGCCAACTGTTGTCTTGATCTGGCCAACTGTTGTCTTGATCTGGCCAACTGTTGTCTTGATCTGGCCAACTGTTGTCTTGATCTGGCCAACTGTTGTCTTGATCTGGCCAACTGTTGTCTTGATCTGGCCAACTGTTGTCTTGATCTGGCCAACTGTTGTCTTGATCTGGCCAACTGTTGTCTTGATCTGGCCAACTGTTGTCTTGATCTGGCCAACTGTTGTCTTGATCTGGCCAACTGTTGTGGTGTATAGAGCCAAAGATGTTAGAATTGTGTCGATGTCCCAATATTTCTGGACCTGACTGTATATTGTTTTGCTTTGCTCTGTACTATGTGGATTAATGGAGTCAGCGTGCATGCCATATTTTTGTGCTGGCTGTAGGAGAGGAAACATTTTCCCCTCTGGGATTTGCTAATACAGAAACCATGCAGGCTGGCAAAAGAAGTTCAGGGTTCTGTCCCTTTTCCTCCAGTCTGTTCACTTACTTGCATGGAATTCCTGATCACCTTGTGCTTGATTACCATGTTAAATATGAGTATTGCATGCTTAACTTTTTCTGGACTCTGTTTTTCTTTTTCTATGAAACTATGTCTACTCTCAGGAGGAAGCTTGTATTTTCTCCAAAAGTTTAATAATGGTTTAACTTTATCCAGCCACCACATCTCTCTTGCTCTTAATGGCTTACTTTGAAATTTTGTCAGTCAATTCTACTTTATGGGATTTTTGAAGCAAACAACCCCCTCTGTCTATATACATCCTTGAGTGAAGAGATGATGCATCCCCTCCTCAAGAAACCATAATTAAACCCAGCTGTTTTGAATAACTATAAACTGGTTTCCAGCCATCCCTTTTTAGGGAAAGTTACTGAGAAGGTGGTTGGACCACAGTTGGAGAGAGCCCTGGATTAAATGAATTATCTGGACCATTTTGAGTCAGGATTCTGGCCCGGGTTATGGGACTAAAACCCCATTGATCATCTTGTTGATGACCTTTGGCAAAACTAAGGTAGAGGGAATGTGACTATCCTGGTTCTGCTAGACCTCTTGGTGGCCTTCAATACCATTAACCATGGTATCCTCCTGGACTGTGTGAGGGTTTGGAGTGGGGGACCCTAGGTGGTGGTGGTGGGCAGGAAGAGGTCAAGGTCTCATCCACTTTATTATGGGGAGTTGCAGAGCTTGGTCCTCTTTCCTGTACTGTTTAACATCTATGAGAAGCCACTGGGAGAGGTTATCTGCCAGTGTGGGGTGAGGTATCATCAATATGCTAATGATATCCAGTTATATAGCTTCACCCATTGCATGGAGATTGGGATGGGGAGAAATAGGCTTAGACTGAATTCTACCAAGACAGAGTAGTTGTGGATTCGAAAGCCAGTTGAGTCCCGAGATAGTCCATCTGTAATTCTGGATGGGATAGTACTTTCCCAGGCAGAGCTGGCCCGCAACCAGGAGGTCCTTCTGCACTTAAGGCTCCTGCTTGGACAGCAGATGGAGGCCATGGCCAAGAGGCCCTTTGTGCAATTTCACCATGTGTGTCAGTAGTGGACATCCCTAGATCAAGAGGCTTTACTCACAGTTGCATATACCTTTGTAACCTTACAGCTGGATTACTGAAACTTAGTCTACAAGGAGCAACCCTTGAAGACTATCTGGAAGATTCTGCTGGTGCAACATGCAGTGGCCCAGATACTTATGGGTGCACTGAGGCTTGCCCATGTAGTACCACTAGTACTGGAGCTGTGGTGCTGCCAGTTGGCTTCCAAGTGCAATTCAAAGTTCTGGTTGCTATTTCAAATCCTACATGGATCAGGGCCTGGTTATGTCTGGGACTGTCTTCTCTGCATTGAATAAAATCTGGGAGAGAGGTCTGGTTAGGGAATGCTATGTTCAGGGACTCTGGCATCAAGCCTTTCTGCTGATGGCCCCCCTCTCTTGGTCCAGCTTACTCCTGGATAGCCAGACTTCTCCCTCTTAGTACATTTTTGTTTTTAATCTTTTTATATTAATCCTGTGAGCTGCTCAGAATCTCTGAAAAATTGTAGCGGTAAACAAAGGCACAACTAAGTCTTTTTCAATTGGAGGGGAAATAATTGCTTTTTTTCATTCTTGATAGATTGAAAATACCTTTCTTAGGGTATAGTGACACAGTTAGCCATGCCATGGAGACATGTCCCATTAACTTATTACAGAAACGATCATCTTGGGGAAGGTAAGAATTATTTTTGCATGAAGTCAGTTATTTTTAATGCAGAGAATTAAGTAGCCTGTAGGTTGCTGGTTCCACAGTAACAGAGCAGAATGGGTTGGCCTGGCCAGAAAACCCCCCAGTCTCAATACTTCAACCAAGTATTGCTGGTTGCACAATAACAGAGCAGAATGGGTGGGCCTGCCCAGAAAGCCCCCCTGTCTGGAAGGGAAAATTCCTGCTCCATTGCCATAATCAGGATGATCCGTTATGCCCTCTCTCAGAAGGCTTAAGTGCTGCAGGTCTGACACAACTGGACGATGTCATGTTGGGAATTTAGACCATAAATATTCTCCTTTTCCCTACCCCTGCTCTGTAGCATTTCTCTGTCACTAAACAACCTCTCTGCACCCCTTGAGGCTGAAAATATAAAAATAAATAAAGTGCCACCTGGAAACAGGTGCTATCTTCTGGTTGTGTGAGTCTAATTTATTCAAGCAAGTATGGCCTACTGCAGTGTATAAGCCTAATCAGTAAGCTGTGAACACAAACTGATTAAGATCCAGCAGAAGGGATGTGACCGTTAGCAGCATTGCTAGTTGGGTATATTTAGTCTGCCCTAATCATCAAATGGTATAACTTTGGAATGTGAGAGAAAGGGAAGACAAGACATCAGCCCCTTGGACTTTTTCTTTTTGGTAATGTTTTGTATAGTTTTTATGTTGTATATATTTATTGTTTTAATGGATTTTGTGAGCTGCCCAGAGTCCCCTATTAGGGGGAGATGGGCGGAGATATATCGAATACATAAATAAATAAATAGGCTTTGTTTAATCTTAGCTTTTTGTTTAAGTTTGCTGATTAAGAAGGTATGAATCCTGCCACTTCTGTGCTCATAGTTCGCAAACCAAAATTCACAAATCACATGTCACAGTGAACCAAAATTAAGCCACTTATGCGCACGATGGCTTAGCATGGGGTGGACAACCCACAAGCCAAGTTCAGCATCCCAGGGCCCCTGTTGTATCTTCCAAGAGTTTTGCCAGGGTTGAAGAATCCGTTTTGCTCCAACCCTGTGAAATTTTGACTCTGTCTACTGTAGTGTAATTATGATGCCGTTGGCCAGTCTGATCCTCCAGTCAGCAGCCCTTGGGTAGGGGGATTAAACAGCTTAAAAATGAATGGAAAACAGCCCAGTTTGGTTAGCAGCAGAAAATCAAAATTCCAATTAAAATACTGCCTTTAAAATACAAACCATTTCAGTTTGGTTAGAACAGCTTACATGAGTCTGCTAACCTAGTGCAGGATGAAACCAGGGCATCTAAAGAAGATTATTAATTAATCCGCTGGAGATATAAACCTGTAGATGCTATTAAAACAAATAAATTCCTGTCTCGCAGAATTACCTTCTCGGTGCACCCCTCCCTCTGATGCATTTGATGTATTTTCATTATCACTGCTTTTCTGCATTGCAAGCAACAGCTAACTTACATGTTTATTTTTCTTCTCATTATGTCCTCATAGATATATTGTTGACTTCTTCCTTGTGATTACCCAGTTGGGCTTTTGTAGCGTTTATTTTGTATTCTTAGCTGAAAATATGAAACAAGTAAGTACAACAAAAAATTGTTTGGATGTGTGCTGTGTTCTTGCCCTTTTTCTCTTCTGGCATGACAGCCATGTTTTCCCTGTTTAAACCCTTTGTGCGTGCCTGTGCATCTCATCTGTGGTTCCTCTTCATGATCAAGCTATGACATTCCACTCTAAATGCCCTTGACTGCTCTTCAAAAGACTGCTCTTGCTTCCATAGAAAGGAATAGCCCAACTGCTAAAAGGTGCATTATGGTTCTGATTGATTCCCTTATTTCTTGGATGCCCAAAAGACCATACTTGGAGCACTTATGTGCTATTCTGGGCATCCCGTTTCCAGAAGGATGTTGACAGTTAGAGGAAGTTCAGAAGAGGTAACAAAAATGGTACAGGGACTTGGGGACATGGCCTAGGAGGGGACACTGAAGGAATTTGGGATGTTTAATGTGAAAAGGTGCTGAGGGCAGACATGATAGCTGTGTTTAGGTATATGAAGAGAAGCTGTGGGGAAGATGGCCAAGAACTGTTCTCTGTGGCTACAGGAAACCGGGACCAGAACTAATGAGTCCAAGCTGCAGCTACTTAGATTGTATTTAAATATAAGGAAAAACTTTCTGGGGAAATGGTCAGCTTATGGAGGCTGTGGGTTCTTGATCTGTGGGAGTTTTTTTAGTACAGGCTGGACAGCCACCTCTCTTGGATTGTGTAATTGGTTTCCTCTGCCCTGCAGAGTGTTGGACTAGATGATACTTGTAGTTCCCTGCAACTATACAGTTTTATAATTCAGGGAGGTGGTTGTTGGCTTTCACTTGTAAAGCTTTACAGGGAGTCCTCGACTTATGACCACATTTGGGACCGGAACTTCCATCGCTAAGCAATGTGGTCGTTAAGTGTGTCGTGCCTGATTTTATGAACTTTTTGCTATGGTCATTAAGCAAATCATGTAGTCATTAAGCAAATCCAGCTTCCCACATTGACTTTGCTTGTTGGAAACCCCCTAGGAAGGTTGCAAATGGCAATCGCATGACCCTGGGATCATGATAAATACATGCCAGTTGCCAAGCACCCCAATTTTGATCATGTGACCACAGAGATGCTGTGATGGTTGTAAGTGCAAGGACCGGTCGTAGGTCACTTTTTTCAGTGCTATTGTAACTTTGAACAGTTGTTAAATGAATGGTTGTAAGTTGAGAACTACCTGTAAATGCTTGGATTAAACATATCTGGAGGGTTTTCTAAACATATCTAGATAGGACATTTAGGATGGCCTGATTTTTTTCACTCTGACTTTAAATATAACATAGAAAGTTTTCGTTCAAATCCATCCTGGCAAAACTATTCTATGAATATGGAATATCATTGCTAGAGGGCTTCAGCAATGATATTCCATATTCCTAGAGTAATTTTGCTCAGGATGGTACCTAGAAGGTGAACCCAACCTCAGATCTCATAATCCTCAGCTAGCTTTTCTACAGCCCATACCGGTTGGAAATTCCTTGGATGACAACATTGGAAGAATTAGGATCAAATATTTTTGGCCCATTATTGTTGTCTGAAATTGCTATTTTAGAGCCAGTTTTGAACTGTTTTCAGGATTACCAAGGCTTAAGGGTTAGAATGGGAATGCTTGTCTCCCAGAAGCCTCTTGATCCCATTTCTACTCTTAAAGCTCCTTAAAGCTTGAAAAACAGAGATTTCAGGTTCTTTTGGGGGGATGGGAGTGGTAGTTGTGGTTAAGAGGGGAGGGACTTCGCACAGATTCATATGTGTGCCAGTTGTGCCTGTTCCTAGATTGGGAGGCCCTTCAGACAGTCACTCGTGCCCTAATTACCTCACGAGGGGACCATTGCAGCGTGCTCTATGTGGCTACAGCTGGTCCAGAATGCAGGGTTGCAGGCAGTAATTGGCCATGCCTCGGTATAACCACATGACATCACTGGCTGCCATTCAAGGTGCTTGTTAAAGTCCTTCATGACATGGCGCTTGGCTGTTTGAGGGAACGTCTGCATTTGGTACCCTTGCTTTTACTGTTTCCTGCTTTTTAAATATACATTGCCTTTTTGAGCCCCCCCGCCCCCATTTCCCAATCTAGCCTCTAGTGGGACTTCCTAGTAGCTTCCCATCCAATGATCAGGCAAGGTTTCTATGTGTTGCCCAGTTGGGGCAATATATCTAGGCCATGCTTTCCTCATTCTGCTTACCATGGGTTCTGTGGAATTTTATACAGACTGAAGCATTCACCTGCCTCTGACTTTCCTAAATCCTTCCTCTGGTTCAAATGCTGAGCTGCTGTCCCCACCTCTATAATGCACATACTGAGATTTCACTAATAGATAGCATGAATTCACCATTGGTTGGTTTTAATTGGTCTGATTATTTTCATCCTATTACAAAATCCATCTAGTTTCTTTGACTCAGTTGTTTAATCACTGTGCCAGAGTTTGTATTACACCAAGGATTAGATTTATCCTGGTATTCTCTTTGGGTAACATTGGTTACATTCAGGCAGCTTTCCAAGTCATGGTTTAGAGAGAATTATGAATTGATTTCCAGTCATAATGTGCTATGCTATTAACATTGGCTTGCAATCTTAACCTGGGCACATTGCTCAAACTGTAGTCTCTTGTGTGAATATGTAATGACAAAGTCTGCTTCAAACAAAAGAGAAAATATTATATCAGCCTGAGTGCTTGAGGGGAGGTCTTCTATGATCCATTGAGTGCTTGGAGAACTGCAGGATGCAACATCTTATTCCATAGCAGCTTCTCTCACCATATAATTTCAATCTTGCGTTCTTTTTCTGTACATTGAAACAGGTGGTATGGTTTAACTTTGTATGCAGCTTCCCTGATGTTACAAATAGCATTTGTTTCCTCTCATTTAACTTCATCAGTATTTTCCCCCCCAATGGCCTTAAAGCAACTACTTGTTAAATTGGAGTGGTTCTCCTTTTCAACTTTGCTTTGTGTTGAGAAAGCAAACTCTGTCCATTCTTGATGGTCCTTGCAAAAAATAAAGGAAATCAAATAGGCTGGTGTGGAGGATTGTCATGTATGATGGCTTGTACAGGGCATAATCATGGAGAATGGTAGAGCAATGGAAAGGAGCAGGCCGGCTAAAGCCACCTGATGACCTTGGAGAGAGAGGAGACAGATGCCAGAAACCAGACCGTGGTCTTTCCTCTGGTGTGAAGAGGGGCAGTATATGGGCACAATAAATGCCATTGTTTATGCTACATGGTGTGAGTATCTGTAGGTAGGCTGGGCTACAGTCCTGTTAGCAGAGAAGAATGTAGAGGTGCTGGGATCGCCATACTAAGGTCATTCCATAGTGTTATCAAATGTTACATTCCACCTGTAAATGTCACAGTACAATTTGCAGTGTTTTCTTTATCACTCCTGTAACAATTCTGGGAGTATATAACCCATAATCTTGCTTAGCTGGGAGTGTTTTACATTCTTTTGGCCAGGAGCCCAGTGATTATTATAGTTGTCAATAAAATATAGGTGGTTGCATCCATCTCCAAGTGCTTTGGTTCCTTCTTGAAGTGGGCATTTTCCCCACACCTGGAAATAAAATGTGTCATTTTGTTGTGGAATATTCCAGTGCACCAATGCCTCCCATTTCTTTCTCTCCCTTTTGGTTTTCTCTTTCCCCTACAGATAACATGACGTGCCTGTGAGCAAACCCTGTCCTCACTGAATTATTTTGGCTCCTCACAGTGTTTTCTAAGTTTCTTCTAACTTCTGCAAATCTTGGGATCCCCCTCAAACCTGTCAGTCTCTTTCTCCTGTTTGTGGATATGCTATTTTACCTGCATGACATTTGGTGCCAGAATGTAGGAATATTGGTGGCTTTTACAGAAAACTTTGATGCTCCTTTTTTTATTGTCCTCAGTGCATAGGACCATAGAATAGAGTTTCATTCATAGCCTTTTATATTGGTATCCAGGGGGGCTCCAGAATGCACCACTTGTCCAGCGGCCTTTTTTTTTTTTTAGATCTAAGCCTTTGTCTCATTTCTGTGTGTTGTTCAGTTTGTTGTAATCTAATCTCTGCATTTATTTATTTATTTACTAAATGTATATGCCAACCAACTCCCAGTGATCCTGGGCAGTTTACAGATGCCAATAGAGGCGAAGTAGCTCAGGGTTGAACTGTGGAGTCCTTGGGGTTCTCTGAACGTGGTTCTTTTCTTGCAAGAAAAGAACCAAGCTCAGAGAACCCCAAGGACTCCACAGTTTACAGATGGTTAAAAACATTAAAACAAGAAAACAATGCAAAACCAAAAAGAACAAAGATGGCAGAGATAACAAACCCAGGTGGGAAGAAAGAAAAAGAAGAAAAGGGGGCTTCAATCACACTCACCAAAGGGCTGGGCAACGAGCCAGGTCTTCAGGCACCTTTGAAATGCCAGTAGGGTGGGGGCCGTTCAAATCTTGGGGGGAGCCTCAAACCTGTCAATACCTCCCTCCTGATGTGGCTAGTGCTGTTTTACCTGCATGACATTTGATGCAAGAATGTAGAAAACAAAAAGAAAACACAGCATTTCTGTAGTTAAGAAATAAAAAATGGTTGTGTTTGCAGCCCAGTGCATTGTTTGGAAGTGGGCCCCCCTGCTACAGAAGACAATTGGGAGGAGAGAGAGCATCCTAAGGGGTCAGGCTGTGCAGTCGGGAGTAACCTCACAGTTTATTTTCTAGTCACTACATCAAGCTGTTTTGTGAAGGCTTGTAACAGGCTATTAGGATCCATAGGATTGTAGAATTGTGGAGTAGAAAGGACCACACGGATCATCTAGTCCAACCCTGTGCAATGTGCAGGGAAAACTAAATAATCCTCTAGGTTTGCTTTCCTCTGAACCACTGCTTACATTTTACACACAGGTAGCCCTCGCTTAGTGACCACAATCAGGACCAGCAACTCTTCGCTAAGTGCTGTGGTTGCTAAGCAAAACAACATGTGACTTAGACGGGCTTATGACCTCACTTCCCCTTTGGTCGTTAAGCAAACAAATGGTGATCATGTCACTGTGGGACACTGTGATGGTGGTAAATGCAAGAATTGATCACAGCTTTTTTTTTTTTTACACCATCATAACTTTGAACAGTCATTCAACAAGGCAGTTGGTAAGCGAGGACTACCTATAGTTCTAACAATGCTAAATGTACTAATCTCTCTCTCTTTTTAACTTATGGCAGATTTATGAAGGATATGTTCAAACTAAATCAGCTGCTACGAATACCACAGGAAGCATTGGACCCTCAGAAAAAAGGACCATTGATTTGAGATTATATATGTTATGCTTCCTTCCATTTGTAATCCTCTTGGTTTTCATTCGAGATCTTAAGCATCTGTCTGTGTTCTCGTTCCTTGCAAATTTAGCCATGGCTGTCAGCTTGATCATTATTTATCAGTATGTCATACAGGTGAGTCAGGAATTAGTTCTCCACACTGTTTTGGTTTTCAGTGTCACATTTGGTTGTGTTCTACCATCTAGACCCTGATCCTTTCTAGATTATGGTTCTGTGTTTGTGCACCTTCACTCAAGCACCAAAGGTGGTTGAAACTATCTTAGTTGAACATTCCAGAAGAAAGCAATGACAAACTACCATATTGAGTTTTTAATGTAAGCTGGTTTGAGATTTTCTGATTTGGTGGCTGTGCAAGTCTAAATAACAACAGTATCTTTTCAAAGAAATCCTTCCTCCTACCCACTGCTGATTGCATAGAAGACCATTTGCTTTTGAAAATTGTAGGATATGGTACTAATATGGTCAGGTCTCTTCACTGGATGTGATTTTGGTTATTAGGCATTAGGCAGCCTGCCCTTGCTTCTTTGAAGACATTGCTGCTCTTCATACTATTACGAAATTTGATATAGATACATATCAACTCTTTAATGTCTCTCCACAGGGTTTATCTGAGCCACGGAAACTAATTCTGGTAGCTGGATGGAGCAGGTATCCCCTTTTCTTTGGCACAGCTATATTTGCATTTGAAGGAATAGGAGTGGTGAGTAAAGTTAAGAATCTGCCCGAATCACTCAAATTCAGATAAGTTTCTCTTCCCTTTATTGTACTAGCTGAACAGATGTTCTGTAAACGTGATTCCCAGTTTTAGGGATATCTGGAAAAAACTGATATGGAAGTCATATCTCTATGGTATGTGGAAGGAAAAAGGTTGAGCTGGGCGGGATATACGCAAGGATTGTTGTGGGAGGGGGAGCAGAAACAAGGTGATGCACAAATTTCATGCCAACCTAGATTGTCTGTTGGAGGCCTGCAAGCAATGGTAAAAGCCATGCTCCAATGTTCTACCACTGGCTCTGCCCCTTTAGTACCTCTGGGCATGGGATGGACGTTGCTGTATCATTCTGCTGCCTGCAAAACTCAGAATTTTCAGTGTTCTCCAACACCTGGGCACCCTGCAGTTGTGTGAACATCATCATCCAGAATTCCCCAGTCACCATGGCTTATTGTTGAAAATTCTGGAAGCCGAAGTCCATATATCTGGAAAGACCCCAGTTTGGGAAAGAAAGCTTCAGTCTTTCACTATAACTGACATGCAGGTAGAAGTTCTTTCTGGCTTAGTCATAAGAGAGATTTACTTTGAATATTGTATTTATAAGATTAAATTTTAAAAATAGGCTTTGAAAAAGAACCTGAGATGAAAAAGCTGCAGTTATTTCTTCTATAATTCTCTTCCTACCATCTAAATCTGAGTTTATGATTCCATACAAAAGTTTTCAAAAATTTATGACTTAATGCATCTTAACACAGTAGGGCCTTTTCTCAATTGGTCCCCAGGATATTTTTGATAAAGGCACAAAAGGCTTTTATTCTAAGGCTGTTATATTTGAATGCCAGTCTACCTTGTATGGTCTTCTGCTTTCTGCCTTTCTTTATATATTATGAACTTTGACACAAATGATTAATCCTTCTTTTAACCTGTCAGCCTAGATGATGTCTGCTTTAATTCATTGAAAGATGCTTAAGAGGTTGTCTTGAATGTGAAATCTTCCTTTAGCTTTCACTTAAAACAATAACTAAAGTATTTTCTAGCCCTCGTGGTTGAGAAGAACATACTCTCAAGCAGGGGTGTCTGTGAGAAATGGTAAAAAAAGTCAAGATGGTGGCCGGAGCAATATGATCAAAGCTCCACTGTTTGTTATGTGCAGTGTGAGAATATGGTAGGGCTTGTTGAAATCTCTACAACATGTAGCCAAGGGTCTACAGTTCCTTGTAGATCCCCCTTCCAATGACTAGTAAAGCCAACATGAGCTGCATTAAACAGTTGTAAATGTTCTAACATTGCAAAATTGCTATTTAGATATAGAATTTTCATGGTTTGATTGAGTTTATTTTTAATTTCATTATTGTAAATTACTCAGAGTTGTTTGAGCTGGGCAACAGATACATATTTGGGGAAGCAAATTAATAAAATAAAGAGAAGTTTCACAATTGCGTTTTTGCATATAAATCATATACAACACTCTTTCTTTAGCACAGAGCATAGAGTCCTGCTTATGCAATAACTGATTCTAAATTTTGCTTCAGGGACACAGGAGATAGAACTGAAAGGGCAAGTCAGATTGGCAGTCTTTGGCTTGGTGCTTACCCAAATGGGTGGATTTGCAGCTCTGTGGCCTTTGAGGTTGACTTTCAACAATTTTTCCCCTTTCCTATTTGGGCCACAGCACTGTTGCTTCTTGAAAAGGTGGGCAACATTTTAACTGCTAGAGGCTACACTTCACATTTCTTGCCAGGGCTTTGGACTGCAAAGTGGATAGTTAACTTGCACGTGTGGCACACAGCTGTTTTTTGTGTCTGTGTAGTTTATCTTTTTAAAACTCTGATATGCCTCCTGAAGTAACCTTACCATTTTTTCTGGGTTTTTTTCCCACCTCAAAATGGGGTGCCTCTATTGGTGTTAATCAGAGGAGGCTCTTCCTATCTGAGTTGCATCTAGAGAAGAACATCTCAGCATGACTGGCAGAGGTTACTTGCCAACTTTAACTTCTTGCAGCATTTAGATGTCATAACAGCAGGTCGCTAATTACTTTGCAGATATTGACGTGAGATTCTGAATATAAGGGATAGACATGGGTCAGTCATCTTTCATGCTATGCTTGGAAAAATAGGAAAAGATAAAGAGGAGGGGAGGAAAAATGAAGCAAAAAGAAAATATCTGTAAACATAAATTTTCAACCATACTGAGAAACAATTATGTATAGGATGGTGGGCTCTTATCCTTATATTTGACCCTGCCTTATTTGTGGGGTTGTAGAAATTCAAGAATTTTTTGAATTGCCTAAAAGACCAGACATTGTGGTGTGTATGTTGTTAACAGAGTCAAAATCTAACTTGTCTTTTTAAATAGCTATATAAGGAAGATTTGGGGAATGGTCTGTCTTGAGGTGCTTCGCTCACTCTCTCTGTGACCAAAGAGAAGATAGTAAGCTTTTCAGCTATTGCTACTCTTAGACAGGTAGAAATAAAAAATCCTTAGCAAATCATCTAGAGATCTTCTACCACACAGCAGTCTTCTGTCTGCCAATCATATAACATATTGGACATACTATGTAATTCACATAAGCAGTAAAGACTGCTTAATGCTTTTATTCTCTCACTAGGTACTGCAAATCAACAGACAATATACTTGTTTCTTTAGTCTGCATGTGTATGCAGGAATTTGTGAAATCTGTTCCATGGAAATGGAAGTCCCTCACCAAAAATGGAAGGCAATTTGATAGAATTCTGTGGCAGAGACCCTTGTAGCCAGAGAGGTGGGGAGCTGACTAGTGAGTAACAGAAAGCAAACACTGAACTCTCCAAAGATGTTGAAAACCTGAAGTTTATTCTCCCAGTCCCTTGAGCATTTAGGGACAAGAGTTGACAATAAAAACAGACTCTTTGAAGCCTTAGCTGTCAAAACCAAGAACTCAAAGTAACTCTCAGAATAAAATATCTAACCAAGAAAGTAAATGGATCTGGCAACAGCAATTTGAGGATTGTTCTCCTGATCTAGCACCAACAATCTCAATTAGCCTTCCAGATTCAACTGTGAACATACAGGCAACTCCTTGAGTAGTCTCTGGCCTCTTCCTTCCCTTTGAGTAAGGCTTTCCAATACAAGGGACCAGTTCTCTTCTCTGTCTGAGCAATGAGCTGAGTCCCAATAAGGTAGCACAGAAGATAGGGGAGTTTGTTTATACAGCCCTGATAAAGATAATCCAGAAGGTGTTTTCTCTGCACTTTTTCTTTGTTGTCCTCCAGCATCTCCCTCAAATACCTTCTCAAACCCCATACACCTGCCTTTTCTTCAGAGCTACCTTTATACTTAGCAAGGACTGAGTCTGCAGGCACTTATGGAGCAGTGGCTTACTCACAAAGAGGCAGGTGTTTTCCCTTCACCACAAATTCACTGGGAGCCATTGACAACTGAAGATTTGATGCCTGCATAAGATTATTCTTTCGTTTGAAGAGGGCCAGAGTTGTTCAGTTTGTGTAATTACATGCATGAATTTGCTGTAGCAGTGCCATTTCACACTGCAGCTCTCAAAAAGTGAAAATTAATATAACTTAATATGTTCTTAAATATAAAGTGTTTTCCTTGCTTATTGGTGGATTTTCCTCCTAGGATTTGGACTTTGTTTGGAGAAAGTGTTATCCTCCATTTAAAATACATCTTCATTAAATTGTCTTAATCTCGTACAGCAGTTGTTGGCAGACTTTTCAGGCAGTGGGTAACGCTGTGCCATCTTTTGAGTGTTATGCTATCATAAAATGTTAAAAGATTTTCCGTTTGGGGATCTTGTGCGAAATGCTGAATTCTTGCACAAACTCAGGCAAAAATTCCTGCACAACTGCTGACATTGGGTGATTTTGTGCCATGTAATTAATAACTGATCTGAATAATCTGTTACTTAATTTGGGGATTTGCGGATGCCATCTAGGGATATTGCAAGTGGTCTACGGATACTAACTTTCTGAACCCTTTTATACAGACAAAATTTAAACCTAACAGCTGTGGTATTTTATGATAGTAAGGACCACCTTGGTTCTCTTTTGTAAGCTAGTATTAAATGTTCTCTAGGTATTGCTAAAAAAATTAAACCTTTGAAGCAAAATCAAGCGAATCTTGCTTTGAAAGCAAGTTTTTGTAGTCTTAGCAGTTCCCTAACTCTCCCCTGTAATTGACGGAGAAAGGAGAGATTTTTTTTTTCAGTTGTAAAACTCAGAGTGAAGAAGGCTTTTTCTTCCTTAACCAATTTCTTTAAATTGGTCCATTCTCAAAGCTGCCATTTGAGATGCATTTTGCCCTTCAAAGAACATAACAATTTGGGATAGAAATCCTTAGCTGTTAAATGTTTTTCTTCTCTTATTTTTGAATTACCACTTTCAAATATTATCTTGAGAGGCCTTGGAGTTGTACAGTTTTATAAATGCTGACTACATCATGTGCTACATCAGAATCCCCACCACCCAGTGTCTTTGGTCAACTTATTTGTAGGCTGTGGTCTTAAGCCTTGGACCTTTTCCCAAAAGTTCTCTACACTCAAATCAATTCACATCTTTGCAAAGAGTGATTGGTCCTATTCTTGGCAGAGAAGAGAGACTCAGAAATAGAGGGAATAAAGAGGGGCACCTAAAGATCTGAGAATGAATAGCTCACCCATCTTTGGCTCTGTCTCTTTCCACAGCTTTCTTCAGCCATTTACACTTGAAAAAATATGGTTATTGAAGGACAAAAAAGTTACACTGTAGTAGTTCATGAGACCCTCTTCAAGGGAATTCTCCAGTGTATCTGGGGGAACCTTGCAAACAGGGCCCACAAAAATAGCAGTTCTTGCTTGATACAGGATTGAATACATGGGAAAATTTCACACAGCCTGCGCTAAGATGTAATTTGGTTCATCCACTTTTGTTGAGCCAGTTTCGTGTAGTGGTTAAGTCATCAGCCTAGAAACCAGGAGACTGTGAGTTCTAGTGCTGCCTTGGGCATGAAGCCAACTGGGTGACCTTGGACCATCACTTTCTCTCAGTCTTAGCAAGCAGGCAGTGGCAACCACTTCTGAAAAATCTTGCCAAGAAAACTGCAGGGACTAGTCCAAGTAGTCACCAGGAGTCAATACTGACTTGAAGGCACACATTTTTTTAAACTTCTTATTTATTAAATTGGATTTGTTAAGGCTGCCCAACCCCAAGAAGAATCTGGGTGGCATACAATAAGTCCAATACATATATTAGAAATAACTATATTTGGCTGACTGCCCAGACCGAAACAACGCTCCCCAACATACAAGAAAACTCAACAGGGGCTCCACAACCACTTAACCCCAGGGTTGGGAACAGAGCGAGGTCTTAAGAAACTTTCAGAAACCAAGGAGAATGGGAGCTGTGTGTTTCTCTGGGGGTATTTTGTTCCAGAGGGCAGGGGCTGTGACACAGAAGCCATGTTTTCTTGGTACCATACGATCACAACATTTAATTGATGCGACCTGGAGCACATCCACCCTTCAGGTGTGATCTCAGCTATTGTGATTTATAAAGTTATAAATGTATAATATATCAACCTGGCTACTTTGTCCTTCTCAGACTGCAAATATTTGAGGTCAGTCCTGTTAAAACTCAGAAGTGCTCATTGATAAAGTCAACATGGCTACTGCTTATTGCTAGTTGGGTATGGTGCATTTGAATCATCACATATTTTATTTGTGTGTGCAGCTAAAGGCATCATTTCTTTAAAACTCTTTATTACATGCCTTATTTTTCACGATCTCTTTGGACATGGGTGAACAATCCATGGCCAGTGGGATGCAACTGACTCCTAAGCCCAGAGCCCTCAATATAACCTGCTGAAATCTGATAGCATAGTCAATTGTATCTGATGTCTAGGATACTTTGGAAGAGTAGTATAAGCGAGCCTACCTAATTCTCATACTGTGAGGTTGTATTATGATTGCAATTTTTCCAAAGGTTGCAGCTGCTGAGTTGGAAAACGCTGATTTAAATCATTCTGAAAACTTGTAGGAAGAAGCTGTTCAGACATGAAATTCTTCTTTCATCATTTCTTATCCTCATCTTACGTATCTGTATCTTCTCTTTTTCAGGTGCTCCCCCTCCAGAATAAGATGAAAGAAGCCGACCGCTTCCCACTGGCACTCAACATTGGCATGGGAATTGTGATGGCCTTGTATATTTCATTAGCCACCCTGGGATATGTACGCTTTGGGGACGAAATCAAAGCCAGCATCACTCTCAATCTGCCACAAGATCAATGGTCAGTAAAGGCATGTTAAGACTTGATAGGGTTTCTGAACAAAAAGTGAAGAAAACTATAGATGGCATTAAGAGAAAAGAAGATAGTTGTGGTCTGGTTTTTAACCATCAGACATGATTAATGTAAGCAAGTCCTGTAAGGGAGAGGAAAACTCACAAAGGGTCTGGCTGTTGCTTGAGAATTTTATGTGATTGAGGAAGCAGCCAAGGCTGTGTAAAAGAGATCTGTCCTAAAAAAAACAGGGAAGAAATTATTGAGACAAATAGGTTTTATTGTGGTGTGGAGTAAGTGGCAATGCTTCCTTTCCTAGTGAAGTACTATAGCTAGAAACACATAATGTATCCATTTCATCAAAACAAGTGTGAATCAGATCATGTCTAGAAGGACAGCTATCCAGGACTCCGTGTATACTACCTTGAGTTTCATCATGGAAGAGAAATGGCTATAAATGCATGAAATACTATAAAACAAAGTGGTTGTTCCTGTCAAAGGGAGCCCAATAAAGAGATGAAGCGCAGCAGACTTAAATCTGCAACTCCTGGTTCTTTTACTATCCCTGTAACTCCAAGGTATTTTCCATAATTGGTGTGAGAAAGCAGATGATCTGAAATGTTGCTGCCCCACAGAGCTTTTTCTTTTTCTTCTGGAATTTAATGATAGGAACATATAAGAGAGTTACCTTTATTAGGGCTGTTCAGAGATCCAGATGGAAAAATGTGGTTGAAAGAGTATGTGGGTATGCAGGTGGCATTTGGGGGGAATACCTTGAAGCAGCTGCATGTTTTTCTGGTGTGGAATCAAAACGCAGGACACAAAGGCAAAATAATCAAGGCTTTACTTCAGTGGCTGGTGTGGGTCTTCCGGGCTGTGTGGCCATGTTCTGGAAGTTTTGTTTCCTAACGTTTCGCCAGCATCTGTGACCGGCATCTTCAGAGGGCAGGAGCACAGAGAGGAGCAGTTCTCTCTGTGCCCAGGATGATGTGACCCTTTTGTGGGTATTGATAGAGATCTGAAGGGGGGGATTGGGAGGTGTGGGGGAGGTGGGGTTTGGGTTAACGAGTGGCTGCTTGTAACGACTAAACAACAAATCCCCAGGAAGATACACACATATGG